TTTTAGATCTCGACACTTAACAAACTCCTGTTTCCACTACTCGGCACGAAAAAACTAAAAAAAAAAAAAAAAAATAAAAAAAAGTTTCCGTACGTCATGCGGACTGCGCCCCTCGTGTCGGTTGGGCGGGAATGGAGGGTAAAAAGCCGTTGGGATTAATTAATTAAATCCAATGTTGTGTTATTTTAAAGACCGACGCTCGTTTAGATCAGTGAACCCCATTAAGTGTTGGCTGCATCAGAACAAAAACTTCTAGAAGGGTTGCACCAAATCCTTTAAAGCATGACATACATTGACCCCAAGCCTGCAGGCACTTGCTTCAAGGCATGTTTCTCAAAGACCAGGCTCAGCCAGGGACGTATGTAAAAGCTTTAACAGACGGCAGCGTTGATCGGGATTAACTGGGACTTAATCCGGATCAACTGCAGTTAATTCCCGAGTTGATCCGGATCAACGCTGCCGTCTGTTTAAGCTGTAAGTCATTTTCTAAACCAGAAGGACTATAGACAGGCCTAAACGATATTCATCGGGGGCAAATCAAAACTTTTGTAAACTAGAAGAGTTCAAAAAAGCTATAAAAAAGAAAATAGTTTACTTTCATACATACTTTAGGTGTAAAATAACTCGAAAACATATTTTTTAACTATGAAAACTTTTAACACTGTATGTATTTATTGAAAATATTTAGTGCTTGCAGAATATCGTCGGTGATACTGCAAAACGTCAAGAGTCAATTATTACCCTTGGCGCCTTAGATGTGCTTTGATCTGCACCAGAGGTAGCATCACCGAAGATATTTCAAAATAAACCACTGTTAACACTTCGACGCCGCGTTTCTCCGCTCGGGACTTTCTTTGCTCCGACTTCTGTTGCTGTCAATGCTTTTATCTTTCTTTGGAGTAAAGCTAGGCAATTTAAAAAAAAAATAGTAATTTTAACAATATTTCTCAGACTGTAATTCAGCAAAACTATATGCACCTATCTGAGCTACTAGATTTATGGTATTTTCGCTTTGTATGCCTCTCCTCAGCAGTTGAATGCTCGCATTTGTCGCTGCCATTCTTATGCTGTCCCTTGTCATCATCCTGTCTAGCTGAACGACTACTTTCACTTCCAGCTGATTTGCTCTGTCGACCATCATCACTCTTAGCGCTGGGTGTACAAGAGCGCGTAGTGTGATCATATTTGCTTTTACTGTGCTTATTGTCACTAGTTCTGGAATCATTTTGGCGGTCTTGATGCTTTTCAGAATGCTTTGAGCTGCGCGAACGTTTTCTTTTGTGCTTTTTATGAGACTTGTCGCGCTCATGTTTGTGTTTTTTGCGTTTACGCTTTGATTTACCATCGACATCTTCGTTTTTTGTTTGGGTGTGGGTGGAATTTTTTAGTTTATCATCATTTTTATGTCTACGGCAATCATCGCTTTTGCTAACTTTTTTCTCAGTCTTTTCTGGATCCAATCTCGTTGCTGCAACTTCAATTTCAGGACTCTCGGACCAACGCCAGTTGCGTGAATTGTGTTTCACATCATTCGCTGTCACCATGTTCCAGCTTGAAAAATATATTAAAGGAATTAAGGATAATTCAAGGCTTGCTTTGTTAATATGTATATCGTCGTTTAAAGTACAAAACCGCGTATCAAGATAATTCAAAACCACGTATGTGAGAGTGCATAATTATTTTGTAGAGTAAAAACACTCATATTTCAAAATGTTTCTCTCTTTTATAAAGCAATCGCATTTCTGGCTAGTATATTTCAGGACGAATGGATAAGGCTTGAACCAAGGGCTTCTGTAAGTAACTCCAATTTTTGACAAAAAAAGGTCAGTTACGCAGTCAGAACGACGATACGCGCTTTTGTACTTCAAACGAGGATATGTATTTTACCTTATTAGGGGCGTGGCTACTTGCACCCTACCACTTGGTGTTTTCTTGGCCACCAAAGGCGTGTTGTACTTATTACCAGGGTTTTTGAATAAGTGTAAATAATTACATTTATCACCCTTAGGACATTTGTGCGCGTGCGATAAGCCTTTTTTCGAGAAATAGAAAATTTTGTTAAGGAAAAGTGTTTAGCATAAAATGTTAAAGTAGAGAGATACAATTAAAAATCATATTTAACACAAGTTATGCGCCCTGTATGTTTTCTTTTGATCGTTTTGATGATTAGTTTATTTGTTTTTGTAAAAAGGATACCATCAGAGCAATATGTGTTAGCTGCTAACGCCTCACGTACCACAAATAGCGCCCCGCCAATTTTGAATGCTTGAAAATTCTACATTTAGTTGCCTGCCGGCATAAAAGCGACCTTGTAGCTTTATAAAAGCTTTTAAAGCAGATCTGCAAATGAAAAACGATTATAATTTTCTGTAAATGTATCACACGCAACGATTCATGAAACGCACCTCTCCTCCAAGTACTCGACGAACACATGTCCACGCAAGTGCCGCAGCACATTACGCACAGTACGGAAATTTCGTAAATAACCAAATCCCTGCAATTCTGGTATTACATCATCAAAGAATTCTACATACGCTTCGCGCAAGTCCTGCTCACTTAACTCCAAACCACCATCAGCGGTTGCGTATTCTTTGTGCTCTTCCTGTTCCAACAGAGGATGCATAAAGAAGTGACGCACAACAATTATGTTGGAAAGCAACGGTCTACGATGATTATTCGCACATGACGGCCCAAAGCGGCAACAATTTGTACGATCATAGAGAATACACAAATTCTGACCGGGACGTGACTCTACCACACGTCTCAGCTCTGCAGGTGCTGGACCATCAGTGTTAAGGAACTTTTCCGTACATTGCAACATTTGCTCAAACTCCGCAGCTGCTGCCGCTTCGCTACGTTCACGTTCCTCGCGGCGTCGTCGTTGTTCGGCTTCCTTTGCAGCCAGCTCCTCTGCTTGTTGTTTACGTTTAGCTCTTTCTGCGGCTTCCGCTGCTTCGCGTTGCTGTTGCTTTAGCCGGAATTCACGTTGAGCGAGCAAGTCGCGCCTCAACCACGTTTCCTCTTCTTCTGCATGACGCTTTTCAGCTGCGCGGAGCTGTTCCTCCTCAAGTTGAGACTGTTGTTGTAGCCATAATTGGTAGGCCGGATCTTTGAGTTTGCTGGCTTCATCTGTGTGGATTTTAATTTATGTAGTTTTTTGAAACGCAAGTGATATTTTGCAAATAGATTTACCTTCTTCCACACGCAAGTCACGCGCCACAGCAGCTTTCCGCCGTCTGCGCTTCCGTTGTTGCTTCTTTAAGTCTTTTCGCCATGGGCGTTTGCTTGTGATTTGGAGCATTGGAAAATATCGCTTTATTAACTTTTTTTTATAGTCAAATCAGAAATAAAATTTACCTTTTTCCCGGCATGGTTTTCGCTACTTGTTTCTTTTTTTTGATATTTGTTTCGCGAAAAGTCAAAATCAGCTGTTCCCTGGTGTTATAGTATCCAAAGCACAGATGTCGCCGTCGAGCGAAGGAAGAGACACATAAAGGAAACTGAAAACACAGTTTTCAAAAGCTGTGGGGGAGGTTAGATGTGTTTACCCGACACCACAATATAACCAGCACAGTATAGATAGTAACCAACCTTCTTGGGTTGTTGTTGTAGTAGTCGTTGTTGTTGTAGTTATATTCACTCCTGAGGAAGGCACGGGGTTGTGTGCTGCTATTTAATGGCTTCCTCAGAATTTTTCTTAGATTTCAGGGTTGTGTGCTGCATTATTATTAGATAAATAAATTTAAGCATTTGACAAATCGTGATTTTATTAAAAGAAAATTATAAATGGTGTTGAAAAACCAAACAAACGCTCGTGCGAAATCTCTTTTTTTGTGTATTGTTAAAATTTATACATGGCGTATTGATGGTAATACAAGCAATTTATTCTTTTGTGGACTTTATGTTACTTGAGAATTTAGACAATGTGCGAGCTGTCAGGTTTTGTTATCAATATAATTAACACAAGCTTTTCCGCGTGGTTGCCTTTCAATAAATAGAATAAAGAAATATTCGCCAATAAATTGGATTTATTTTATAACTGACAACTAACGTACGCTTTTTGTTCTTTTCTCCATTTTGAATTTGACTCTTTATTACCGCCAACAACTTTATGTGTATACATATTTACATGCTGTC